AACTAACTTCGCGGTTTCCGGAGGAGGCAGGCGACACTAACACAAAAGAGAAAACGTAGCAAGAACCGCGCCTTGAGAGGCAGAGCAGCAGCCAGCGTGCTGGTTTACGCCGCCTTTAATCCTAGCACTCTCGGGAGGCAGGGTGGATCTCTGTGAGTTCAAGGCCAGCCTGGTCTACAGAACGAGTTCCAGGACAGCCAGGGCTGTTACACGGGGAGAAAAAGTTGTCTTGAAAATACAAACAAAACCTAAAATAACAAAGCAAAACGGAAAGGGTGTGGTGTGTGTGTGTGTGTGTGTGTGTGTGTGTGTGTGTGTGGGAGAAATGACTCAGTGGTTAAGGGCACTGGCTGCCCTTACTGAGGACCCGGGTTCAATTCCCACTACCCACAGAGCAGCTCAAAACTGCCTGTGACTCCAGTTCCTCACACAGACATACACGCAGGCAAATGCACACCAGTGCACATGAAATAAAAACAACTAATTTCAAGGGGGGACAGCAACTTTAGACCCAATCCAAATTCAAAACCCAATCTGAGCCTGGCCTGGTGGTGCACTCCTTTAATCCCAGCACTCAGCAGGCAATGTAGTTCACAACCATCTATAGTGGGATCTGATGCCTTCTTCTGGCATAAAGGCATACATGCGTATACAGCACTCTTATAAAAAATACATATTTTGTAACGTTATAATGAGCTGGGGGTGGTGGCACGCACTTTTAATGCCAGCCCTTGGGAGGCAGAGACAGCTGCCTCTCTGTAAGTTTGAGGCCAGCCTGGTCTACAGAGTAAATTCCAGGACAGCCTGAGCTTTAACGCAGAGAAACTCTGTTTCAAAACAAACCATAAAAATATCACAATGAGCCGGGCATTGGTGGCACATGCCTTTTATCCCAGCGGATCTCTGTGAGTTCAAGACCAGCCTGGTCTACAAGAGCTAGTTCCAGGACAGCCTCCAAAGCCACACAGAAACCCTGTCTTGAAAAACCAAAAACAAAAACAAAAACAAAAACACACACACACACAAAAAAAACAAGAGTCAAGGCCAGTTCTGCTGTCCCTTATGTTCAGACCCTTGCACAGATTAACTGTCATTTTTCTACACTTAGGCTGCTTCTCCTGAGCCTACCTAGCTCTTGCCTTTGCCCACACATCACCATACTGAGTCTTCATTCCCTTGGGATCAATCTAAGTATCTGTGACACATAATATTCTGGAGAGGCAGGGCAGTCTCAGTGCAGACTGAGCCTGTTGTGGAAGGACAGTAAAGGGTATTTCCCCCCTCTGTATTGCACCATGTGATGAAGCTTGTTTTAGGATTCTTATTTTCCTGGTATTGAGTTAACACTACATATGCTTGTCTCTCAAAATAAAGAAGGGTTGGGCTGGAGAGAGGGCTCAGTGGTTAAGAGCACCGACTGCTCTTCCAGAGGTCCTGAGTTCAATTCCCAGCAACCACATGGTGGCTCACAGCCATCCGTTATGAGATCTGGCGCCCTCTTCTGGTGTGCAGACATACACGGAAGCAGAATGTTATATACATATAAATAAATAAAATCTTTTAAAAAATTAGAAGTACGAGAGAGATGAGACATGAGACTATAGAGATACATTAACGATAGTTTGTCATACCACGGGAGAGATAGCGAGAGAGAAATAGAAGAACAGAGCAGGACAGAGTAAGAGAGAAGAAAGACAGAGTTAATGGCTGACCGTCATGGTTGGGAACTAGAGAAAGAGAGGAAGAAGAGAGACAGGTACAAGCTTTAAAGGGAGAGCCGAGCATGGGCACTGAGGCTTCATTCATGCGCAGTGTCCTCACGCAGGTCCGTGAAGGGTAACAGGTCAGATGTGGCAATGATGGGCACCTCACCTTGAGTGCCCCACCTGTTGTCAGAGGGTGGGGTCTATCTCTTAAAAGAGGTAGAATGGGTCAGCATTAATGTCTGAACCTTTCATTCCCACCTTTACTTATTTAAAAAGGTGGGGTGTTAGAAGTGGCAGGGTAAGGAATAAGGGCGCCAAATTCTCAAGACTGCTTCCTACTGACACGGGGTTGGGGGGGGCATTGACCATCCTTAGGGGACCTGAGAAAGCTGGGGTGCTGCCACGTCCCAGGGTAGCTGGTTGCTCCATCGAAGTCCAGGCTGTATGGAACTCAACAAAACAAGGCTTTGGAGAGATGGCTTGACACTCACTGATCTTGCAGAGGGCCCAGATTTGGTTCACAGTACTCACATCAGGCTTCTCCCAACTACCTGTAATTCCAGTGTCAAGGGACCCAACACCCTCTGGCTTCTAAGTCCATCTGCACCTATGCAATGCAC